CACACACACACACACACACACACACACACACACACACACACACACACTCTGTGACCTTTAACCTCTGACCAAACACTTTGATCCACAAACGGAACAACTCAGTCACGCATTAGCACAGACCCAAGGTAAACGTGTGTGTACATGAGCTCCAGAATGCAGTACGGGTAAAGTAAGAGGGCTGATCTGAACTGCTGTGCCAGAGATTCATAACTTCTGCATAAAGATCAACCCGTTAGAATCAAAAGACCTACTGAGGGCCACCCACTGTAGCACTACGCCAATTCTTGCTTATTAACATTTAAGGCCCCTTTGAAATGATTAGAGGTTGCACATTATTACTAACTTAAGGTGACCTGACCAGCAATACGGAATCAGCTCTTTTACTTTGATTTGATAAATCCAGGTAGTGTGGGTGACCTGATGAAGAGGGGTGACAGCAGAATAAACAAGTGTGATGTCTACTTTGATGTGAAGACTGCTTTACCACTTTGACTGGATTTGAATGGGAATCAGAGGGGATTTAATGCAGATCCCCGTCTGTCCTCTTATTAACTGGATATAAAACGTCTGCTAGGTGGCCATTCGTTCCTGATTACAAATTTGAACATCCAAACCAAATCTGGCAAACATTTTGTATTTTAGTACTGTGGGTGTTTTAGTTGAGAGGTTTGAGAAGGCGGAGTCTAAAATGTTTCCACACTGCTCTTGATAATCTGTGCATCAACGTAAATATGATTATTTGCAAATGAGACAGAAAAAAAACCAACTTTATGTGCCCACGAAGAGTTTATCTTTGCCCACAAAATACATCGTTTTGTGGGCAAAGATCATTAGCTTCCTATCTTTAATACAAACCCCAACAATAACATGTATTCTCATGCCAACAGTCATTTGTAGAGGAAGGTGTCGGTGTCTTATGCTGTCTTAATCTGGAATAAAACTCTTCATATACACAATATAAACAAATCTTTCGTGAAACAAAAGCCTGGCTTCTGTCAGCCAGGTTGAGTGAAAAAAAAAGAAATGTATTAATTGTATCCTCAATAAGTGTGACAGTTATAAAAAAAACCCTGTTCTCACTGAAACACTGTCCTGTATAGCAGGGACACAGACCGATGTGAGAGAGTTCAACACGCGCACTCTGGACACAAAAAATAAACGCATTCAAAAGCCCGGTTCTAAAACTTCAGTGCCCAAAGACAGAATTTGGCATCAACAAATCCATAAGAAAACGCAACAACAAACAGACGAGATATATGTTCAATAATATGTGATGAGAAAGACCCAACGAACAAGGTGTGTGTAGATGCTTCTCCCATCGAACCCGGACACACGAGCGGCTGAGTTACTCATTCAGTTGCTCTGTGCCGGGGTAGAAACAGATATGTTAAAAAGGTATAATATGTGACATTTATTGGTTGTTTGTAAACACAGAGAGAGAGACAGAGAGAGAGTGAGCGGCGGCGGTGAAATAAAATGGTATTTTTCCGAATCACAAATAAAGGAACCCAGTCGCGGGAAGGTGCCGCCTTGCCACATTGAATGAATGCAGCAGAAGGCCGTCCTCCCCTCTCTGCGGTCACACTGACACAACGATGGCAGCACTCAGCAGCCACAATGCACATGGGGGGGGGAAGAGAGAGAGAGAGAGAGAGAGAGAGAGAGAGAGAGAGAGAGACTCTCAAAACTGCACATCCTGCTTCTTACACCCATAGGGCCCAAAGGCTCTTTGCGGAGGCCCAGAAACATCCCGAATACAGCCAAAGAGAAAACACAGGCAGAGGGAAGGGTCTCTGCACGCACACACACACACCACCACACTCTTCTAGTGGGTCAGAAGGGATCATTGTGAAGGAGTCTATACATTGTATTGTAGGAAAATGTTGCATATTATACCTTAAAACTGGGGGCCGTCATCTTCATAAACTATTAGCTGTGTGTACAGAGAGAGAGTGACATGTATGCCTCAAGTCCAGTCCTCAAAGTCCAGTGTTCTGAACCCGGCGACGAGCAGAACCAGGAAGTCCACAAAAAAACAAACAAATAAGAATTTTTAAAAAAGGCCCCAAAAGTAGAAAATAAGGATTCAATATGCCAGAGAAGCAAAGGCACACAATCAGAAAGATGAATATAAGAAGACGTGTCTCTCCCTCTCTCCCTCCAAACTCAGTCCGATCCAGTTTGATCTGGCTCGATCCCGTTTTCTCCAAGCATGAGAAAGTGCTCGAACATGCCAGGCAGAATTGCGTCCGGGTGTGTGTGTGTGTGTGTGCACGCGCATGTGTATGGTCACTATAGAAACATATCAACATTTAAAAAGTCCATTTTCATAGTTAACAAGTTTAAAATACACAGGGTGACTCCCTACAACTGCATCTCAAAGCTAGTCACCCAAAGCTCCACCGGCTGTACCTTCGGTATAAACTGACGATAGGTTGGTTATAGGATAATATATATTCACATGAATAATGGTTTTACAACAACAGTAAAGACTTTTCTTTTTTTTTTTTCAACCGCTATAAATACATTTCTTTGAGAGGTTTCACAACGATCAAACTGTATGCCACTGTTTGCACGCACACACACACACACTCCTTCAATTACACAAACTCGCACAACTTACTTGTACACATACAGGCACATGTACTTTGCAGGGCAGAGGCCAAGCACGCAGAGAGACACACACACACACACACACACACAGACATAAAGGCACAAGGTATTGCTAATGTTGAGGACGCATTGAAACATGATCTGTCGATGACCCCTTTCACCCTTTCTCTCCTCACAATAAAAACAAAACAAAAAAGATGCTTTTTCTGTCTAATAAACATGCAAAAAAGAACACATACCCCCACACACACACATGCGCACATCAACAGTAAACAAAACCTACAGATCTACAGTACCAACAAAGGTACACCATTTGGTATTTTAGCGCAGACAGACACGCTCAGGTCAGCCGATGTGTAAGACTTCCAAAACAGAGAGCCGATCATCATGTACAAATCTTAGAAAAATAAGAGGGGGGGGGTTGAAAAAAAAAAAAAAAAAAAAAGTAGTTGAACCGTTTTAGTACTTGAAGAAAATCACGAGGAGAGCTGGATGTGTCTTATCTCACTCTCACTATTTTTAGTGTCTCTGCTGGGTCGGTCTGTGACGGCACTGAGCTGGAATGGTTAGGTGACGCATTACAGAC